GAACGGACCGGTTCAAGTCGATGCAACAGAAGTCTTTTTGCAGAGCTGATGGTCAGACCAGACCAAAAGCAGGCTGAAAAGTGCCAACACTCAAAAAACGTGGCTCTCTTCTTCCAAATGCTTTCTCTAACGTGGGCGAACTGGTGCTTTTGCTTCTTCGTGAACAGACCGGTTTTGTGCGCTCTGGTGCGACCGCCAACTCTGAGGTCGCTTCCTCCAGCACGACCTACCTGGTCAGCACCAAGCACCACTCTATGGAAGTTGGCAAATAGAAGGTGGAAACTGAAACTGTGTATCTATATATTTGGCTAATTGGGCATATTCACCGCAACATCCCGTGACATCCCAAAATTGCCCCAAATAGCTTTCACGTGCTTTGGAACCCTGGACGCCTCTACCTCCCTCCCACACGGTTGCAACAGATTCCGCCCCAAATCTTGTGACACCCAGCCCATCCAACAAGCCAGAAACTCTTGTGATCCTTTATTGGTCACCGAAAATCCCCGTGAATCCGAAAGGACCAGAAACCATGGCAAAACCACGCCCTTGAACCACACCCCACGTCCCAAAACACCTCCTAGCGCGCTCCAAAACGAAGCGGGCCGGTGTCCGATGGTCTGGACGGTGGTCCCGGTGGTTCGGTTCGGTCCTGAACATGGAGTGGTCTCGCACCTCCTGGGCACCTTTGAACCCCAGCCGATCCTCGAGCCTCGGACCGGACTGGCGCTGGGTTGGTGCGTGGGCGGTGTTTGAGTTGCGGGCGTTGGCGAAAATGCGAAAGACCAGGTGCGAAATGGTGAATCCTGAAGCATGGTTTTGGGGCTGGTAGCCTGGCAGCACCTAGGGGCCCAACAGACTTTCTGAAAGGGGATTGGAGGGATTAAGGAGAGGGTGGCTAAAAATCAGGCGGCTGGCCCAGCTTCAGTGCAAAATGCACAATCTGACGGGTCCATCGTCCGTAGTTCAGCTGGGGTGCACAAGATCGACAAACATGCAGAAGGAGCATGAGCTAGTATACTATTGACATTCGGCCAGGATCGTGTCAATCTTGTAGAACATCTACATAGTTAGCTTATGCACTGTAACAACCGCTTGCATCTCCATGCTGATGTGTCCTCGTGCATTTAATATCCAGAAACGAACGACTGATCAGTGCCTTGGCCAAGGCACTTGTGCGTGCAGAGTTGTTTCACGAAGCCTCAGCTCGTCGTGGTGGTGTGGAGAGCGGCTTTTTGGCGAGGTCATGAGTCGCACTAAAGGGCCAAGATGGGCCAAGATGGGCTGAGTAACCTGAGGTCATCTCAAATAGATAGTTTAGAAACATTTGAAAACACATGTTGGGGCGCAGCTATGCCATTCTAGCGCAGGGTGAGCGTTGATTGCCCGAACCTGACGCAGAGTTAAAGGCCTCTTCTTTAAAGCCCTGTTGAATAAGCAAGGACCCCCCATGAACTGCAAGTGATGTGCACCAAGAAAGAAAAGAAGTTCGAGTCCGCCGCCATTCGTGAAACATCTGCTTTTAGATCAGAAGGACCGGTTTAAACATCTGCTTGGACTCTGATTGCTGGTGGGCTAGGAGGCCTGTGTTCATCCAAAAGCCAAAAGCCGTTCCAAGTACGCCAAGTAGCTCTTTGCCACTTGCGGGAAGTGGAAAGGGAACTGAAACTGACGTTGCTCCTGGCCACGTTGGCCACGCTCGGCGTTGCGTGTTTTGTCGTCCCCTCAGGTGGTCAGAGCATGTGTTGCACCTGCTCGACCTGTTTTAGAAAGGTCTTAGGTTCAAAAATGGTCCAAGCTCCAAGAATCTCCAAAGCGTCTCCACGATGTAATTCGTCTATATGCAAGCTACCTTTATCTGGCGACGGCGACCAACCGTCCTTCCGCTTTGTTCTCGCGACGGCGACCCGCCCGCCCCCCCCCCCCCCGCCCCTCACCCCCGTCTCTTCGGTCCCCGCCACACCGTCCGGTGCGCCTGGCTGCGGCGGATCGCCAGCAAACGCTCCATGGGATCGCTCACGCCCTCGTCGGTGAAGGGCGTGTGCCCCGCCAGGATCCTCAACAGGTCGACGCGTGGGGCGGAGGAGCGAGTGGACCGGGCCGGTGGGGAAGATGGTGTTTGGGACCGGGGTGAAGGAAGTTGAGATGAAGGCATGTGATTTGCGCTGAATGATGAATCTGATTGAATCTTGGTCTATCATCCTAAGAAGTGAAGAATCAGCGTCCAAACAAGTACTTGGCTTGTCATGTGGCTGGCTCCCAAGAAAGCGCACCGGTCGCGACCGGTCAAAAAGCGCCGGTCGCGACCGAACCCAGCCCCCCGAACTCTCCGCGACCGAATTCCGGCGACCGAATCTGGAACGAGTGGTTGTTTGAGAGTATTGAGAGGAGTAGTATTGAGTGGTTGTTTGATGTTGTTTGATGTTGTTTGTATGGAACTAGTGGTTGTTGTAGATGGCACAAGCTACCCCAACGTCGATGGTTCGTATGGACGAAAGGGGGGGGTCTGTCGACATCTGACCCCTGTGCCTGTCAATCGAACCTCTGAAAGCACTGTAACTCTGGAGTCCAGCCAGGTGGCTCGAAGATCAAGACGCCCAGCGCCCACCAGTCGACGCAGCGATCGTGGGTGTGAGGGAAGTCGATGACTTCCTCGAGTGAGTTGGGCCCCTAGTAGCGTTCCTAGTAGTACAGCCAGGAGCCCCTAGCAGCTTCTTGTTACTAAGTCATTGAGGTGGAGTAAGTCAGTCCGGGCTCAAGTAGATTTGGGATGTCTTGATTGTGATGTTCTTTCGGTGCTTGGAAGATCTGGAAGAGTGGAAAAACTCGGGCAAAGGGTCGTGCCAGGAGAGAAAGGGAAGAATATGAACATACTCTTGGCCCCGTTCCACGAGGATCTCAAGGCCGGAAGGGGAGGCCCGATGTCCGACCGGGCCGCGATCTTCGGCGGCGGCCCGGAAAAACTCAGATTGAAAGGATGGTCCTAACGATTTCAGGGAGGTGTCTCTAACATGATCTATCGGTCACGCCGGTGGTTCCCCCAAAACATAGATCAGCGTAGAGCCCAAGCAGCTTAAGCATGTCAATGTCTAAGCATGTCAATGTCTAAGCAGTATGTTTTGCATCGGCCATTCCTTGAGCTCCAATTTTAGTGGAAACCTTATAGCCTCCAGTTGTTTGGAAACATGTAAACAAAAAACTATGTATGGGGACACCCTGCCCCCCATTCCCTGCATCACCATTGCGTTCATACTGTTCATACTGACAAGAAAACGAACCCGGACAAGGCGGTGAAGAAACGGAAACCGGTGCAGCCAAGCAGGGAACAAGGCCCACACGACGGCCAAGCAGGACACAGACCCAGTAATGCGGTGAAGACGGGGCGGAATTGGCGCGGCCACGGTCTTTCCCTAACAAAGAACTCCAACAGTAAACCGACGGTTTGGGGAAAAGCTGTTCTTTTTTGACCCACAGCCATATGAGAACCCAAAAGGTGGGGCTCGAAACTCTGTCCATCTCCGCCATGTGGCAGGCGCCATGTAGTCAGGCGTCCCCACCTCCAAAGGACAAAGAGCGGTTGGACAGGTCTTCAAAAGAGTCAAGAAGAATATTTGCCTTGGGTATATCCCATTGCCAGGTAGTGTAATGGAGGATGATTGTTAGGTTGGCCTTTCTCCAAAATAGTGATAGTCTTTGCCGATGGTTACCTCGGACACGCCTACATCGGCCCCTTTGTCATTGTGCTTCCACCTTTGAAATATGTGCTTCCGCCGTTTTGGCCCAACTCAAGTTACGTCCGCCTCCACTGTGCCACCGTTACGCCCGTCTTCGTCGTCGTCACATCGCTCGCTCGTCGTGGCAACCCGAAACCCTCGTGTCCGTCGGGTGAGTCGACCGCGGTCGACCGGACGAGTTCGCCCGGGCCGCCGTGTTGTTCTTTCCAAAAAGGCAGCTATTCCGCAAGGTGAACCGGTCTCCAATGGGTCTCCACCTTGCCACCTGCTGCCCACCTGTAGCCAGGTGAAAGAACATCCGGTCCAGGGAGCCCCAAAAACATCGGACCAGCCGAAGACGCCAAAGAAACCGGAAGGTCACCCCACCAACTCACCGGTCCCATGACTCAGCGGTCCTCCGGTCCTCCGGCCCCCGAAGACGTGTTCAGCCCGGTGCGGAAAAACCACGAAGACGTCACAAAAGGTCACCGGGGGGGGAGCCGATGAGATCACTGTTGACACCTGGATCAGGAAGACGTCACAGAAAAATGGGAAACGTTTGAAGGTCCCGAAGAGTCCACGTCATACCTTGAACCTTTAACATGTTTTTCTTTGGGGTCGTAGCTTGAGAAGATGTTGAAGCCTCTCGGAAGACGTGTTTGAGGTTCCCTGGAGGTTCCCCACTCAAGCCTCCTACACCAGGTCTCGACCTGTTCGCACAAAGAAGGAATCCCGGACCAGGTGGACCTCCAGACCGGTCTCACGCTGCCGCTCAGTGGCCAGCGTGTTGGTCTTGCTCAGGACGAAGCGGGCAAAGCCCATGTCGCACACCTGCCGCGGTGCCGAATCTGGTCTTCTCGGCGCTCCGTGAGGGAGAGGACCGGTTCGACCGAACGCAAAGTGGGTCTGAAGAGTAGACTGGATCACGGAGGTTGGACTGGTGCTGTAGACAAGTACAGAAAGTAGTTGCCTTTTCTGAAGGAGACTTGACCTTGTGGATCTTCTGGTGGTTTCCGTTGATCACCCTACCCCAAGAGAAAGGAGCACACTCGCACAAACCCATGCTCTTCCGCACATCTGTGGGTCAGGTGCTGTTGGCTGAGGAGGAGAGAGCCCTGCCCCACCAAAACCCTTGACCATCTAAACGAGCCTGTTTTGACCATCGAAAACAGTGCCAGGACGGTGGCCCCAAACAGGCCCACCGCGCTGCTGCTCACGACCCGACCGCCGCTTCGGGCGCGCACTCGGGGGAAATGCCGCCGCTCTTTTCCTTCAATGGCTGGCTGGCCTTCACGAGGTGTGAACGCGCACTTTGAAGTCATTGATGTGGATTTCCTGCAAGCTGCTTGGCAGCATGAAACTGTCCAAACTCTTGTTGAAGCTTGCACCAGCGAAGGACAAAGTCTGCAGGCTGCCTGGCAGAGTGATACCTTCTAAGCTTTGGTTGAACCAAGTGCCGAAGGTCAAATTCTGCAGATTGCTTGGCCACATGACACCTTCCAAGCTTTCGTTGAAGTCTCCACCGAAGGTCAGAGTCTGCAAGCTGCTTGGCAGGGTCACACCTGCCAAGCTCTGGTTGAATTTCCACCCGAACGTCAACGTCTGCAGGCTGCTTGGCAGTGTCACGCCCTTTATGCTCTGGTCGTAGCACCAGCCAAAGGTCAGCGATTGTAGGTTGCTTGGCAGAGTGGCACCTTCCAAGCTTTGGTTGAAACAGTATCCGCAAGTTAGAGTCTGCAGGCTGCTTGGCCAGTTGACACCTTTCAAGCTTTGGTTGTAGCTGGTCCCAAATGTCAAGGTCTGCAGACTGCCTGGCAGTGTTACACCTACCAAGCTCTGGTTAAAGCCGTAGCCGCAGGTCAAAGTCTGTAGGCCGCTTGGCAGAGTCACATTGGCCAAGCTCTGATCGAAGTAATCTCCAAAGGTCAAAGTCTTTAAGCTGCTTGGCAAGCTGCTGCCCTCCAGGCTCTGATTGAAGTTGGGGCCAAAGGTTAGTGTCTGCAGATTCGTCGGCCAGGTCACTCCCGCCAAGCTTTGGTTGAATGTCTCTCCAAAGGCTAGATTCTCGAGGTTACAGGGCAATGTAATACCAACCAAGCTCTGGTTGAAGATGCTCCCAAAGGTCAGATTTTTGATACTGCTTGGAAGTGTGACACCTTCCAGGCTCCCATCGAAAGAATCTCCCAAACGCAGTGTATGCAGACTACTTGGCAGACTGACGCCTTGCAAGCTCTTGTCGAAACGTTCACCAAAAGTCAAACTCTGAAGGCTGCTTGGCAGACTGACACCTTCTAAACTCTCGTTGAACCAAGGACCAAAGGTCAACGTCTGCAAGCTCTTTGGCAACGTGACGCCTTCCACATTCTGAAAGGTCAAGTTTAGCAAAGCCTCTGGCAGCACGACTTTCTCCAAGCTCTGGCTAAACCATGCCCCGAAAGTCAGGGTTTCAAGGCCATCTGGCAATGTCACACCTTCCAGGCTTGTGTTGTAATTCGGCCCAAAGGTCAAAGTCTGCAAGCTGCTTGGCAAGGTCACACCTGCCAAGCTCTGGTTGAACTTCGCGCCGAAGGTCAACGTCCGCAGGCTGCCTGGCAGAATCACACCATCCAAGCTCTGGTCGAAACACCAGCCAAAGGTCAAGGTCTGAAGACGACTTGGCAATGTCACGCCTTCCAAACTCTGATCGTAATCTTTCCCAAAGGTCAAGGTCTTCAGATTCTTGGGCATCACAACCTTTGCCAAGCTCTGGTTGAAGATCTCTCCAAAGTCCAAGATCTGCAGGCTCTCCGGCAGGGTTGCTGCCTACGAACGGTTTCGAGAAAAGACATGGAACAAGAAAGAAAAAACAAACAACTGATCGAAATCAAAAGAGGTGCCCAACCAAGAGAAATCGGAGGAACCTGCGAGAACTCGGTCGAGAGCATTTGGCTTCTGAAGCTGTGCACATCGACGAAAGTTCTCGATGATCCCACCGGAGTGGTCGTGGGGACAAGCAGGGACACCCCTCGACCACTCCGTTTCTGAAGGGAAAAATTGACCGCCAATCCAGGCCAAGGAGAAGTTTTTTTCCCAATTTTTTTCCCCAAGATCTTCAATTAAAAATCGTCCAGGTGCCTCAAGATCTCTGTTGAAGGCTGACCCAAGGGTCAAAGTGTGCAGCTTGCTTGGCCACTCCACATTCGCCAGGCTCTGATTATAGCGCTTGCCGAAGGTCAACCTTAAGATCTCCAGACTGCCAGTGGAGTTCGAGGTGCAAAGAAAACAACGCAGCAGCAAGTCGTGGTACTTTGATTTGTGACATGGTACTGTGTTCTTCGTGAGAAAATGGAACGAAGAAACCAATTTTAAACTCGCAGAGCTCCATGCCCAAGCAACACTTCAAGGCTGCTTGGCAACTTGGTCTTAACCAAACTTTGGTTGAAGCAAGTCCCAAAGGTCAACTTCTCGATGGTGTCGGGCAAATGAAGAGCTGACAGGTTTTGGTCGAAGGCCAGGCCAAAGCTCAAGCTCTTCAAGCCCTTTGGCCTAGCGGATCCGCGCCGGTCGATCGGAACGGGCGGGACGGAACGGTGCGGAACGGTGACGGTGAGCGGGCTTGTTGATCTCTGCCTGGTGATGAGATCCTGCCATATGGATATGTTGGACGATCGAGGTAGGGGCTCTAGGAATCAACCGTCCATATGAAACGCTTTTGGCTGACAACCACCAGATTTCATGGCACATCAGGAAGTCAGCACTGAGACGGCTGTCCGAAAAGGGCAACAAAAGTAGAACTCACCATCCCTTTTTGACCAGAAAATGATGGAACATCGACGTTTTTTCATGGCGTTTTCGGGTTCGACCAGTGGCAGCAGGTCAGGCTCCAGGCTTTCATTGAAGCTCTCCCCGAAATCTAGTGCTTCCACCACCTCCAGGTCTTCGCTTCTATCAGCGCTTGACCTGGCAGTGTGAGACAGTTCTCATCCACGATTTGCAGTCCTAGACCCCGAAAAGAGACACGGTCGGCGGAGCCCGAATGGATCAAACAACCCATTTGTATACCTGCAGTCATGTGTTCCATCATTGAAGAAGCATAGGTCGAATACGGACTTTTGTGCCAAGAATCACAAGAGTGTGTCCAATGTGTCCGATCGAAACGAGCGGGGAGTCTTGGGGAGTCCTCTAGTGTCAGAATCTTGCACAGAACTGAGGTCCTAAAAGAGCTACGCGTATGTACATATATACATATATATATATATGTATGCAAGGATAAACCTGGGCCGCTATATAAAGTAGCTCTGCACAAATGTTAATTGTTGTTGGGCTATTAAATACTTCTGAGGTTCCCATGTTCTGCTCTGCGCGTTTACGCGTGAGACCCCAAAGTGCCTGGTCCCCGCCAGTGCTTGCTGCAAACTCGCTGCCGCTTGACCCGCCCCAATGGGCTGAGCCACATAGGTGATCTCCTCCACACGGCCCCACAACACCCCGCCCCACACCTATCACGACGAACGACGAGGCCGGCTTTAGGTCAGCCGGCGGAACCCGGAGCCCCAAGAAACACCGGAGGGAACCCCAGTTTACCCCGCTCCGTGAGGCCCCAGTCACCAGGTCGGTCGGGTCGAAACCACGTCACGTCTGGGCTGGTTTAAACCCGTTCCCAACTGGTTTCCACCCAGTCTAAAACGGTTGAACTGAACTTGGACCAATGTTGAATCCTTTCAGTCTATTCACGCCTTCCAGGTGGAGTGTCCAACCGCACAAATCGCCCTCTGCTCCAATCTGCTTGGGGGAACCCCACAGTTCCTCCTCACGGACGTCTCGGTCGTTCGTTTGGCTCGCTCGTTTGGCTCGGTCTCCTGAGTGCAGAATCTCTGGGATTCCTCCAGCACTTGGCCGCCCGAGGTGAGCTGCAGCCGGACGCCCGCCTTGAGGCCCAGCTTGTCCTTGATGAGGCGACGTAGATCTCGGACCTTCAGCCGGCGAAAGTCAGGGGTCGTGGTGTGTTCTTTGTTGTTCAGAAGAAGAGCAAGAAATTTGCAGAGACAAATTGAAAGGAAAGATGAGAAAACCCTTGTGAATATTGATATATGGATCCCATGTGACTATGTGTTGTTGAAGCTTGTTCTGATTCCACGGGTTTCTTCATATTCAGGAAAATCTACAGGAAAACTCTGTTTGGGTAGGACATATCCACTTCTCCTGTGGACTTTCCTGTAGAACAACTCTATGACCATAAGCGACCACCCGGCGTCCAAACCCTATCTGGTTGGGTGTGAAAGAACAGTATGGTTTGGTCCAAGGACACTTGGGAAAGCAAGACCAATTTATCTCCTTCATAGAGAAAAGGCTCAAAAAATCAAGTGTCTGGCTTGCTTGAGGGATTGGGGTCGTTAGTAATACCCTCAGATGTTCATGAAGCGTATATACATCGCAAAAAAGAATGCCCAAGTGGTTGCACTGGAATCCTGGAGTAGATGGAAAATGATCAAGTCCATGTCCAGATCCATGTTCGGTCCAATATCCGGGATGACGGAAAGTGTTTTCATCTTCACACAGTCTGGGCCCTTCAAAGTGGACACTCACCCCCAGTTCCTTCACCTTTGGTACCAAAAAAGGACCTCAGAGTTGATGGAAAATTACCTATCTTGGAAAAGACCACATGTTATCACTTTGTGGGCTCATGTTTGGGCTACAAAAGGACCGACAGATCGGCTACACAGCTTGGCCACGGTGGTCGCATGGTCCACGTCGAGCTGAAACGATGAGCCGTCCAGGCCATTGATGTTCAACTTGCCTCGCAAAGCTCCAATCTCAGAACTGAAACCAGGGAAGTACATCTGGAATAGAACTACTTCACTACCCTCACTTGAGTGTTCACGTAGCATCGTGCTGAACTACTGCGCGTTCAAACCAACAAGAAGTAGTTCTTCACCGGTTCGCCGTCCGCGCTTCGAACGCGACGAACGTCGGCGAGAAACGGTTCCGACACGGTGAAACGGTCCAGACCGGACAAAAGCGGACCGACCAATACAACCAAACAATCATTGGCCGAGGGGTAAACTCTAAGTGTGTATATATATATATATATGTGTGTTTTGCCAAAAGAATAGAAACTATGCTGAGGAAAGCTGGCCTTACAAAGAACTATCTTGAGAAACTGAAATTGAAAAAAGACTCTCCCCGCCACCTGTACTGGTTGTCGCCCTCTCGCTCTTGCCGGTCTGTTGCCGCGCACGTGCCTCTGCTACTAGCCTTGCTTGCAGAAGGCAGGCGAAGGGACAACAAACATTGAAAAAAACTAAGAACTGTGTGTTTTTTGTTACTAGTAGCGATGGCCTCAACCCTAGGTTCGATGGCCTCCACCTAGTAGTTTCTTGCTTCTAGTAGAAAAAACTAAGAACTAGTTGGTAATGTCAGTCCGTTGAATCATTGGGACTAGCAATCCCAGCTAAAGGTTGCTGGACATAGAAGTCCTTTTTGAAGGCACCAACCAGAAAATAATCGTAATGATGGCTGTGACTTGGGTGACAAATACTTGGGTCGGAGAACAGCTCGGCTCAAAGCATATGGCGTATGAGCAATGACCAAATGAACAGGAAGTTGACATTGCACAAACAGGAACCCGGCCTTTGACACCTGACAACCTCGCATTGTCATACAGCGTGCTGAAGCTCAAAAAGGAAACTTCAATCACGAAACCAAACTCTTAAAAAGGAACAGGGCAACAGTCTGAGTGGTGCCGGGATGCGGTGGGACTACTTGGTGACGGTGGTGGGTTACGGTGGGGGCTGCCCACCTGCATTTCCTTCTTTTTTGCAATAGATTTGGAAAGCATTGAACCCAAGTGTTGCCTCGAACGCTGCGAAATATTCCGAGTCTTCGGTTCTTCCTTTCGGCCGAGCAGCCTTTCAGCCCGCGGTAAATCTTGAGCGATGACACTCAGCAGGCTAGCATCGTCAATGCTTGTGCTGGCACCCGCACCCATGGCCGTTTTTCGAGGGCCTATGCTTCGGTGAGGATGATGTAACATCTAGGTTTGCTCAGGGGATCTACTTTTTGAGTGAAATGGATGAACAAAAACAATAGATCCACCAAGTGGAGTAAGGCATGCAATGATTCCCGTGAAGCCTCCTGTTGCTTGACATCCAGGATTGGTTTGGTCCTGAATCTTGTGGCAACGACGCGCAAAGTCGCCCAGAGTCACCTGGTTCTGAATGGCACAAAAGAGAATCAGATACATCACGTATCTAACATATAGGCATACATAAGCATGCATATCTATATATATATATAGTATATTTTGTATATCATATATACTGCGAGGGGACATGCTTTGGAAGCTGGAAATCATTAGTTTTCGTGGCCTGGAAATTGGTGCCCTGTCGCACTCACGCCTTTTCGCCGCAGCGTTCAGGAAGCCTTCCGAGTGCTAATCACAATGGCAGGGATGAAATCGGCGCAGGACATTGAAAAATAGGCCCACGCCTTCCGAATGCAAATCACACTGGCAGGAATGAAAATAGGCCCAAGCAGTGGCCAAATAGGCACAAGCCTTCCGATGGCAAATCGCAATGTCAGTGATGAAATAGGCCCAAAGATTCTCTGCAATAAGTTATCTTTTAACTTTTCTCTTTAAAATTCAGATACTTCTTGGGTCTATTTCTGCCCTACCACTAGGAATTGCCCCCGAACGCTTGGTCCTATGCTTGGGCCTATTTCATCTCTCACATTGTGATTTGTGTTTGGAAGGCTTGGGCCTATTTTGGCGACTTCTGCTCCCTACCATTAGGAATTGGCCTACACCCTTACCTTTTTCAGACATTGAGACAATTGTCCCCCACCATGAGAGGACGAGCGCCAAATCCTCCTCTTACGCGAGTTATCCGACTTTGAATCAACAGCAAAATCCCACGAGCCGCTATGTCGACTGTTGGGCGATGGCGGCGGCGCTGCTCGTCGGCGCTGATGTGTGAACTCGTGGAGGCGAGGCCGCTCGGCTGTTAAAGCCGGTTCTGCTAACTTCATGGCCGGCGCGGGCCATTTTTGCGGAAGCGTGGGCTATTCGTGGGCCATTCCTGGGCTCGTTGTTTTTTGAGAACACAATTGTTGCAAAGTCTGGGCAACCTTCGCAGAAATTTGTGGAAGGTCTTTAGATGTACTAATTTCCTGCGTGATAAAAGAAATCTTGGTGCACCCTTTCCCGCTCACACCCTGCGGTTTCCCTCCTTACGAGAATCATAGACGCTTCATGCCTCAGGCGCTGTCGCTACTCGGCGGCGCCGTTTGGCGGCGTGAAATTGTCTGAAACAGAACCCAGCATGCTTCGCGCGCGCGTGAAGATCTACGTGCTTCGAGCTCGCATCACGACCATGAAAGACATCAAGCCCTGCGCCGTGTTTCTCCATGTGGGTCCTTGCGCAAGGACGCGATGCGACGAAATTTGCGGGAAACGCAGAATGCAGTGACCACTTTCGAGCCGGTAATTCAATAGGCTACTCTCAAAACAGTCTTTTCCCAAAACAAGCCACATGGATGTTTCCTGTTGCACTTCTTCACTTCAAATCCCACATGCCCCCTTGTAATCAATGTTAGTAAGCGACATGGTTGCTGTTATACATCTCCAGTACAACTCCCCCAAACCCCCTTGTCATCAATGTTACTGTTACAGATGTTCTGAAACAAAGCGGCCACCCCCAAAACATGCCTTCAACATTGCTTTCAGGGGGGGTGTGGGGGATGTCAGTGTTCAATCACGGAGCTTGGTACTTGAGAAAGAGAGAGCTTCAAAACTTGTGACTGGAGGTGGGCTTGAGAATTTGTAATTGGCTGAGTCTCCGCGTAGTAGCTGAGGCATCCGCAAGTGTACGGAAGAGAAGGAAGAAAGGAAACATATTGCAGGCGGCTGTCAATTCGCACCAGGTCACACCACATGATTCTTATGACAATTAAAGCCAGTCTCTTTTCTCTTTTCCAGCAACCCGAACAGAAGAAGGAGCAATTGAAACCGGGAATGGAATTCCATGGGGTCTGTGGTGTTCTATTTTGTTTCGGAAGAACAAACATATGTTATGCTACAATCAGGTGCATCGGCGGCCTAGAAAACGAGTCCGCGTTCGCAGGCCTTTTGGGGCTTCAGACTCTCGGGCCAAGGCAACGCTAGCTATGTGCCAATCTTCTTCCACCCCCCCTTGGACGTCAATTCACCCAGAAATACCACTGTAAAGTGGAATGTTGGTAGCGGCGCCTATACTGGAAACATTTGAATGTGTGATGCTGCACAAAAATTTGCGCTACGGACAGGATTGGGTATATGCAAGGAAGCCTTATGCCAAAGAGCTTTTTTCTCATGCTAGGTTGCCGCACGCGTTTTGATCGTGTGTCTTTGGCCAATCCCGGGTAGAGGGCTGTGCGGCTGGATATGGTATAGATTATCCCACCGAAAGTTGCATTCAACGTCTGTTTGTGAAGCCAACCTGGGAGACTTACTGCGCATGCATGATGAAGGCAATGTACAATGGACCATGGCTTGTCGCTTCGCACAGAAAGCACTGGCTGAAGAACAGGTCTTCACATGGCTGAAGACACAGAATCTTGTGCACGGCGCAGCTCCAGCAGCCTTGCAAGTCTATGAGCAGTTTAGATTGAGGCAGGCTCACGCAGCTCCAGGCGAGCCATTGACAAGGCGAGGTATCCAAAAGTGGGTGAGGCGCTGGCGGAAGCGATGGTCTGTCCGCCGCGGACGTCTCCGTGTTAGAGACTGCGTGGATCCTGCCGATCTACGTTAAAAGGCCGGGATGGGCAATTTTTGGTCTGAAAAACGAGTCCATCTGGCGGCCTTCAAAAAAGGCCCCATTAATGCGTTGGTGCTAAAAGTAAGGCCGGAAAGCGGATTCACTTTTGGCACCGGTACGCAGGCGCAAGAATCACATTTTGAGCAACCACTCACCTCACGCGATCTTGGGCCTCAGGCTTGGACCTTCTGGCGAAGTTTGTCGTACATTGCCGACAAATACAAAGATCGGAAGCTGCTCTGGTTAAACCTTGATGAGACGTCCGTAGCATATGCGCCACAGTGTCCGACTGGGTGCATCGTTTCTAGAAAGCATTGGAAGGTCAGTCCACATTGCACAGTGCGCAAAGAGGCCTTGGGTATCAAGCCCGGTTAAACCTTGGAGCCGTTTTCCACTGTGCTTTTTTGGCCAAAGGGTTGCTGACACACAGTGACGAAAAGCTTTCCTGTAGGTCAAGAAGCGTAGCCGGCTGATGAAGAAGGCGCAAGGCCTGACGGTGGCGGACCTTGCTTGGCTAATGGCCCAACGTGCTTCCGAGTGAATGCGGCCAATTGCAGAACCTTGGTGAAGCCATGCAGGGGTGCAGCACTTTGGATTCTACATCAGGGTGCTCTTCACGCAATGGTCTCTGCGATCTTGCGACCGGGCGAAGCCTGGGTGTGGATGCATGTGTCACTTCGCTTCTAAAAGAAGCAATGACCGTTCATTGTACACGCACGCTTGCTGTCACTGAGCTGGTGGTGTCACTTGAATCAAAAAAAGGCCACCGTATGAATGCGTGCTCCTTTCAACCATGCTGGCACTGTATATATATATATAGGCACCACCAAAAGCACGACACTCACCACCCAAACACTCATGGCTGCATGCACGGTGCTTCACGGGGCTTCTCTTCACATCACCAACCGGACTTCATGAACCTCAAAAAACTGCATGCCATGATGCCTTTTGGCCTGTGGCAGCGCCGGGTTTGTGGGGCGAAGAAAACGACACCAACAGCGCTTCGCCCGCACATTCACTCTCGCGTCGCCGAGACGCGAGAATAAGGCGCCTTGGCATAGCCCTTCTCGTCTAAGAGGGCGTTCTCCGGTTTG